CCTTCCCTCCCTTCTTCTCTCCTCCTCTCCTTTCTCTTTTCTTCTTCCCCTTTCTCTCCCCCACTCCTCCCCTCTTCCTTCCCTTCCTACCCTCTCTCCTCCTCTTACTTCCCCTCCCTTTCTTCCTCTCCTTTACCCTTTCTTCTTTCCCTCTCCTTTTCTCCTTCCCTCCCTTCTTCTCTCCTCCTCTCCTTTCTCTTTTCTTCTTCCCCTTTCTCTCCCCCACTCCTCCCCTCTTCCTTCCCTTCCTACCCTCTCTCCTCCTCTTACTTCCCCTCCCTTTCTTCCTCTCCTTTACCCTTTCTTCTTTCCCTCTCCTTTTCTCCTTCCCTCTTTTCTTCTCTACTTTCTTCTTTCCTCCTGTCCTTTCTCTTTTCTTCTTTCCCTTCCTCTCCCCCACTCCTCCCCTCTTCCTTCCCTTCTTACCCTCTCTCCTACTCTTACTTCCCCTCCGTTTCTTCCTCTCCTTTACCCTTTCTTCTTTCTCTCTCCTTTTCTCCTTTCCTCCCTTCTTCTCTCCTCCTCTCCTTTCTCTTTTCTTCTTCCCCTTCCGCACCTCCACTCCTCCCCTCTTCCTTCCCTTCCTACCCTCTCTCCTACTCTTACTTCCCCTCCCTTTCTTCCTCTCCTTTACCCTTTCTTCTTTCCCTCTCCTTTTCTCCTTCCCTCCCTTCTTCTCTCCTCCTCTCCTTTCTCTTTTCTTCTTCCCCTTCCTCACCCTCACTCCTCCCCTCTTCCTTCCCTTCCTTCCCTCTCTCCTACTCTTACTTCCCCTCCCTTTCTTCCTCTCCTTTTTCCTTTCTTCTTTCCCTCTCCTTTTCTCCTTCCCTCCCTTCTTCTCTCCTCCTCTCCTTTCTCTTTTCTTCTTCCCCTTCCTTTCCCCTATTCCTCCCCTCTTCCTTCCCTTCTTACCCTCTCTCCTCCTCTTGCTACCCCTCCCCTCCTTCCTCTCCTTTAACCTTTCTTCTTTCCCTCTCCTTTTCTCCTTCCCTCCCTTCTTCTCTCCTTTCTTCTTTCTTCCTCTCTCTTCCTTTCTTCTTTCCCTTCCTTTCCCCTATTCCTCCCCTCTCTCCTACTCTTGCTACCCCTCCCCTCTTTCCTCTCCTTTACCCTTTCTTCTTTCCCTCTCTTCTCCTCTCCTCTTTCCTCTCCTTCTTTTCTCTCCTTTTTCCCCCTTAACTGAGAGAGGAAAGGGAGCTCACAGGGTGTGAATCGGAGGGTGGAATTTTACAATACTAGAAAAGGAGGGAGGCTTCTTAGCAGGGAGGGTTTGTCTTTCTCAGTAAAAGCAAAATTGACTTTTTCTTCCCCTGTTTAGAAACCTTCATGGGGAAAAAAAACAACAGCAATTGCAAACAAGACATGTTCCGTGTGAGTGGGGGGTTGGACTAGATGACCTGCAAGGGCCCTTCCAAACAGATGAACAATTTGTTTATCTGTTAATATTGGATACTTCGGTTTCTGCGGCACCTGAGACAGAAGAGAGACGTAAAAATGGACCGTATTGGCCGTGAACCTGGGAGGGGAGCTGTCGCCAAGAAGTGCCCGTCCGTCCGTCCCCCATCTCCACGGCGGATTGTGAAGCCGATTGAAAGCGTTCACCTCTCTGGATTCACCTTTCAGAATCCTACCCCAAAAATATTCTTGGGCGGTAAACGTTGGTGACGCAGATTGAAACGCGTGGGCTTTGTAGTCCTTTGATGCCACTTACTTTAGGAGAAGCTCGCTTTTCGGCTAGGAGGGGGTGAAAATCTCAACCCCCCCTCCTTCCCATTGGTGGGGGATGAGTTTTTAAACTTTGTTCAACATTTAAACTTCGCTTTTTTTCCATGCGAAGGCCTCTTTTTATTTTTCTCCTTCCTTCGACAGACATCTGTTTCCTTCCTCTTTCTCCAAATCCTGTTTTTCCTCTGTCGATCCGGATAGTTGAAAACTTGCGTCTCCTCCCTGTAGTTTTTGGATTCTCCAGCGAGGTTGATTTGGGGTTGTTGTTTTTTTTGTGATATACTTTTTTTATTTTCCATTTTCATAACATACAATCACATGTATACTATTACATAGCCAATATCCTATTGTAT